TTTATTTATGATTAAATTCAACAGGAACCAGAATGACATTGTTTTGTTCATATTTACTTACTGAAAATCCTGAGATTGTGTTTATGGGAATAACGCTGTCCTCGAATAAAGCACCATAACAATACAATACCACTTAATATAGAACGATAACTAGCAAATAAAAGAATATCACAGACTATGAATCCAGGTGTAATCGTGAGACCCTGGATGTGCAAAATAAAAATATTCATATATATAGAAGTTGGTTATTGGAAAAAAGGTGATTTGAAACAGTTTATCCCTTTTTGACTTATGTATGTGGAGAAGGAAGGTGAGAGAGAGAGAGAGAGAAAAGGAAAGGTTTCACAGTACATGAAGCTTAGTGCCCTTTTTTTAGTGAAATTTCATAGCAATGACTCATACCTAGTGGTTCACTTTTGTCTGATAACAAGAGGCACATCCAGGCAAAAGGAATAATTCTGCACCAGCACAATACTACAGAATACAGAATAAAAGGATTGGCTAACGGAGCAGTCCTACTGGAGGAGGAAGAAAAAGAAAAGGAAGAAAAATAGAGAAGTGCCTTTTTCTTTTCTTCTTTTAGTATAAGGATTTACTTTCTTTACTTTATAAATGTTTTGACTTAATTAATGGAGTCATTTTGCTTTGCACTGGTTTTTACCAATTACTTCTAAATACATTGTACCATCTTCCAATAACCATAAGAGCCAACCAAGTCTATGCAGCGTTTCAGGCATTCATGGCTTACAAAAACATTTTGGGAGTACCATCTGAAGCATCAGACTATTACAAAGATTCACCGATAGATAAGCTGTACCAGCAGATGCCTTACAGCCAACCTAATGTTTTCAAGACTGATATTATTGCACTGTAATATATACACATATTACCTTCAAATACAAATGACCCTATATGGAAAACTATTGCAAGAGAGCACCAAGGCTGCAGAAGCACTGACTTCATGTGACAAAAACAAAAAATGTATATGGAAAACTGCTTCCACAGATTGGGAATCACAGATATTGCAACAGTATTCCAAAGGAGTGTCTTTTTTTTTCTTTTTTTTTTTTGTCCTTTCTTTTTTTTACAATGGAAAAATATGTTGGAATAACTTATTATGAAAAAAATATATTCTGAAGCATTTACAATCATGAGTTATTGATCAAGAACCAATGCTCACACAATGCCAGCAAAATTAACAAACTTGACTTGCTTTCTTTCAATGTCTTTTGAGCAATAAAAAAAGAATAGTTTCACATCACTTCTGTATGTAATGGAAAATTCCACATAACACCCGATTTTCAATAAACACTCAGTCATTAAGACTGATACTGATAGTTTTTGTTATTGTAGACAGGATTTAGACTAGCACTTCTTCAAGAACATCATTACAGTACAGTACCTGTTTCACTATAATGTGACACTAGAAACTGGGAAAAAATATACATATATATATATATTATATTCACTTCCAAGTCTTTCTTTAAAAATTTCTAACTGTGCCCTCCATCAGAGTTATCAGCACAGTACAGGGCATTTGATGCACGGTTGCCAGAGAAGGAAGTCCACCAAAGCCCATGGCAACTACCAGTTTACACAATGTGGTAATGGTAGATCTGCAGTTCAGTGGAAACTCTTTTCATATAGAGAGTGAAAAATGATATACAAGTAAAAAATAAAATGTTGATTAAAAAAATGATTCTGCAATGGCTTCACCACCTTGACAGACCACCTGCCTTCAGAAAGCCAGAACAAAATGCCTCTTTGGTGATTTGCGATTGTCCTTACAGCCCCTAAGAGAGGCCTTTTTCCCCTCTTTCCCCTCATGACGGAAGAGGCGACTCAGCTCCTCTCTGGTCCCAGTGCACCCCTCCCTGTAATCCTCCTCCTCCCCCATCTGGCATGCCCATCACCCCATTCAGGGGTCGGATTTCCTCCAGGCTGCAGACATGCATCCCTGGGGAGCGGTAGCTAGGCGGCTTGTCCTCATATGATGCCCGCAGATTGACATGGCCCAGTGAGATGTTCTTGAGCAGTGGTGGGTGGTAGTAGAGAGAATGCTGTGGTGGTGGCAAAGGCTCAGCTGCACAGCCCCCAGGATACAGGGGAGCCTTCAGGTACCGCTCATTAATCACCTGTTCAAGGAGATAAGACAAGTTAATAGCTCTGTTAAGAAAGAAAGAAAAAAACAGGTGTCTCTGTGTGGAGAAATAATTATACTAAATTGGATAGGAACTTCATGTTTCCTCTCTACTCATGAAGCTTGTAAGGTTATTAAAATCATTTTGCAAACCTTTTACAACAAAGAATATATTATGGCCAAGCAAATGAAATATAATTTTCTCTCTTTTTGCCCTACAAGTGATACATCAATAAATCTCCTTTTGACAAGTCCAAGGAGAGGGTGAATGCTTGATAAAACTGAAGAACATTAGAGTATTTTTAAAAATAAATAAAATAAAATAAATACTCTAAACGTGAGTACAAAAAGACAATGTGCACCATACTTTTATATGGGCTGAATCAACCACCTCCCATAAAACTATATCAGAAAGGGTGTTAAGAGCTTTACAAACAGGGAAACAGCTTTTTAGGACTCATTAAAGAGTCTAAGCATAAATCTTACAGGACCTACACTTGGGATGTAATCTATAAAACTGTGGTTTTACTTTTCTATGTTCCACAAATGTAAGTGCTGATTTTAATTCCATTAGGTACATGGTACGTCTTTCTTGCCTTTGAACAACAGGGAAAAAAATGAAGCTTAGACCTGCACTGTTACAAAATACAGAATTTAATGAAAAGAAGTACAACTTTGTATTATTTGACTGAAGACTTCTATAACCTTTGTAAACTTGATTGGATTAAAAAGGACTTCTGCTATTCAGCACTAGACTTATTCATTTCAACTGAAATGGTATTAACAAATTTCACCAGCAACAGTTTTGCATGACACTGTTATTACATCATTTTCTGATGCCCTGGCATAAATATAAACTTTGAAGATAATATATATATATATATAATCCTACTGTCCCAACATGGTATATATAAGGGTCTTTCTTAGCAAACATTCTCTTATAGATAAGGAAACAACTTATAATTCAAAACTATAAAAGGTATAAAGTAATTTTCTCAAAATGTTTTTTCATAATCCAGTAAACTAACTTCAAGCTATATTAGATACCTGAGCCATCCTCTGCCTCTTGTTTTCCTTGGCCAGCATTCTACTAGCCAGGAAGACCAACACAATGAGGATGAAACCCCCTGCTATGGGCACTGCAATGGTAGCTGCTCGGAACCACACTGTCTCCAGCATTTCTGATTCTCCTCTGCTGTAATCTAGGGGTATGAAAAGGGTTGGTGAGATACTGCAAAAAGTATGTTGTGGGTAGTAGTGTAAGGTATATCTCAAGATTGAGGGATAAAGAGAGGTGGAGTAAAGACAGACATGAACTAAAAAAGATTTGAATATTTTTTGCTAATCACCAAATATGAAGTTATGTACTAACTAATTTGAATTCAGTATTACTTGGTTTGGTATGTACAATTATGTGTCTATTCACAAAACAGATCTCTGGAACTGACTTAATACATATTCCTCAATATAAAATCAAAGTTTTCCAAAAATTATTATTATTATTTTCTTTCTTTCTTTAAATTTATTGCACGAAACCAACCTTTCTGGGTATTAGCCTTGTCTACCCTTATGAAGACATCCAGGTCTCGATAATTGCACATATCCTGGCTACAGCATGTCAGATTGGGGTCAGCTGGAGGAAGGGTAGGACTCGCAGAAGGAGTAGGACGCGAGGCACTGTTTGAAGTAGTTTCTACCATCTTTGCTGATGTTTTCTGTGACCTCAATATAATGCTCTTGTTTGAGACCCCAGCCTTGGTAGCACATTCTGCATGCCGGTCTCTGTAGAGGGAATTTTAGAAAATTAGGTTTCCAGTGAAGAATAAAGCTACTGTCTACATGCCTACTATATATCCTTTGTTCTTAACTGGAGATAAATATACAATTTGTTTATAAAAGCATAGAGCAAACACTTGTAGTTATGGTTAAATGTCTAAAAGTACACTGTAATCTTCATATGGGGGAATGACAGAAATAGTTTCCACACAGCATATTCATCATATACAAATCTTTAAATAGCACTAAGTTGAGAGTGAAAGCACAGAACTCTTTAATTCTAATTACACTATCAATAAGACCTCAAAAACATTTTCATTAATATTAAATATAGATAAGATACAGCCACCAGCCAACTAAATATACTGACTGATGAAATGACTCTTAATTATGCACTAAAGTGTCCATAATTCAGCTCTAATTAGTCAAATCATTAAAAATATACTTGCCATTCAGGTCTCATTAGTTTTGCTACAAATCATGTTGTACCTAGAACAAATTATAGCAAGTTCTAACTCCTAACTCCTTTAGAAACAGTTAGTTACATTAAATATAAAATAATCCACACATACAAACTCATGTCATACATGCATGCATATCCCGCTATACTCACACTCAAAGACAGACAGACAAGCCGACACAACGAAACATACCTAAAACCTTCTTAATACCGCTTACCCCTTTTCCATCCACAAATTTCCCACCCCATATCCATCACATCCCATATCCCACCCACCCGCCCACTTCCCACACCAGTCCCGCCACCACACCTTAGTCCCCAAACTCCTACCACATCCCATCCCTCCTCCTATCCCCCCCCCTATCCACCCCTACCCTTACCCCTCACCCCTTCCCTCCCTCCCCACCCACCCTCACCCTCCATTCCCCACCCCACCCACAACTCACTCGGGCAAAAGCTCCAAACAGCCGTGCGTGGGCGTCCTCCGCTGGTAGAGCCTCCGGGTGGCGGGCGCGGGCGTGGGCATGGGCGTGGGGCGCGTGAAGCAGGCACCCAGGGAGCTCTTACACATGTAGCCTACTGTGACGCACCGAGGGAGGTTGCAGTGGCACCGGACTTCGCCTC